CAGGATTCAGGTCCAGGGCCGAGGTAGAGCGACCTCAACCCTCGATCTGAATGGACCTAACCCCGAGATTTAATCACGGGACAAACAGCAAAACCCAAACCTAATAGGCTCAAACCATTTTGTTACTATTTGGTTCAATTTAAAATTAGATCATCGACATATTTATATAGACTCAAACCAATACTTTCAAAACTCAGGTTTCACAACCTTTGAAAAGGTCACTCACCAACTTCATATATAATAGAATACGACATTTTGTAAATAGTTGCAATTTAATATTCTCTTTAGTCTTTTTCAAGTTGTTGAGATAAAGTAAGTACTTGTTCAATAACTCGTTAATTAAAATCAACGAAGTCTTTGTCTTAGGTATCAAACCCTTAAAATGGCACTCCACATTGAGTACAAGTAGGAACCTTCTTTACATTTTTCTCAATATAAAAAGATTTGTACGAACTCAAGGCGGCACAAGTTATATTCAAAGAGAATATTAGGTGGAAGTATAAGAATTTCAACAAGGATATTGTATTAAATATTATTCATTTAAACTTACTTAAAAAAAACTTTGTCCCATGTTAGAATAAGAGAATAAAAGTTAGGTTATATCTCCATTCTTTTAGAAATAAGTAAGGGCTTTATTACATTAAATCTGAAAGGAAATCTTGCACACAGTGAAATGAACGACAAAGAAAATAACAAAAAAGTACTTTTACATGATTTCATCATTAGATATCTATGTCTTTGACGTGTTCCATTGTAGCGGATGTCACAACGCACCAAGACGTTGATAATCTCCACTGTTACAAGTACAAAGGACTTACAAAACTTCAATTAAAAAACTAAAAAGGATTATTTCACTTTCCCTTACAAAGATATCTCTGCGTCAACTCAAAGTCCCAAAAGTTAAAAGCACAAATTGAGCCTCCAATTGAGAAGAAAGGTAGATGAACCTTAATAGGGCTTGGCCTCTTATCATGGATGGTCGCATGTAAGCCCACAGGAATGCCCATGTTGTGTTTTTCATAATTAGAACACCATTTTTACCCTTCGGCAACGATGTTTCTTTGTTGTCATATGTTACATAGAATAGAATGTAGTTTTGGTCCAATAATTTGCAATTACTAGCACATTGCACACATTAATTTCTATTCTGGATTTATATATGTCGTAGTTGTGATTGTTGATGTATTAAGTTTTTTGAAGTCATTTTGTGATTATTAAACTTCGAGAATATCTGTATTCTTACTCTCACAAGTCACTAGTAAGCATTATGTGGCATCTCGTGTGTTTTTACACAAATAGTCAACAATGAACTCCGAAAATGGACTATAGTGGAGAAACTAAGGAATCATGGGTGCTTTTCAGTACGTGTCTCTTTTTGATGAAGATTCTTGCTTATATGTGGTCAAGCATAAGTTGCTCTCATGGTAATGCTTGGTAAGGAGCGTAATCTTCTTTAATCCTATTGACGCCTATAATTTAACTCGCACTTACACCCATAGTTGATTTCGTGCTCTAATTTGTGACTTTGCCAACTTATTTCTTCTTCAGTCAACTCTCGCCTTGCCTATTCACTAGATTTACCCGTGATTTTTCTTTATTTTGACGCATACTAAATTGGGAGATCAAAGCAAGTGGACGAGGATCCATGAACTTAAGGACTTTAGCCCTTTACTTTTTAGGCCCTATGGCAATCTAATGGACCAAGCTGCAAGATCAATTCCTTAGTCCCATTAGCGATCTTTGTGCCATATAAGACTCGATATATAACTAGAATTTTCTGAATTATCTAAAAGAACGAGAGGAAGGAAAAATTATACACTGCCCTATAATTTAACTTTACATTTCAAGAGGAGAGAATTGTGCCATAACTCCAAACCTTTCTTTTTCACAGCCTTTGTCCAAACATTTTATTTGTGTCATCCACAATTTAAAGTATTTCATTTTGTTGCAGTACAAAGACAAATCTATCTATCTATTTGACCATTAGTTGACCCCAAAAAATAATTTTGATCACATTATTAACTATTTCAATATGGGTAAAAGGTAAAATTTACATTTTATATATAAATTAAGTTAAAAACTAAATTTAAAAAAAGAACAAAATAAAAACCTTATCTTCCGACGAGTAGAATATTGATTTAAGTTTGGGAGAGAGAGTGTGTCCGTATATTTGGGGTGGAGTGGAAAAGAATATGGGGTTATTATTATTATTATTATTATTATTATTATTATTATTTTGTTTTTAACTTATTTTATGTATAAAATGAAAATTTACCCTTATTGAAATAGTTAATAATGTGATCAAAATTATGTTTTAGGGTTAATTCATCCAGTTGTCCTTGTGCTACAACAAACTGAAGAGTTTTGAGATTGTGGGTTGTACAAATGAAAGGTGTTACGCACCAATACAATTGGCCGACCTACTGGGGCCTGTGGCCCTCCTGAGCCAAACTAAGAGGTATGGTGGCCAAGGTTTGAAGAACACGCAACATCCAGAAGCAAAGCCTCTGACATGGCCCAACTACTTGAGGATCGAAGTGCATTGGCCGAGGCAGTCCATACCGAGGTCTCTATTCCGAAGTCGAAGCTTTAAAGCAGATTTGGCATTACCTCTCCCAAGAGATCCGATCTTACACAAGAATCCTCTTTGAGTGATTGATGGGACGTCCATCATAAAGTGTAAGTGTCTTGTTTTGTCAAATAACGACGGCTCTGCCAATTAATAAATGTATAGCAGGCTAGGTGGTAAAAAATGATGCCCAAGATTAAATAAGTAAACTAATAAAATGAGACCACGTGTACTCCCAACCGAGGACCACGACTCAACTCGTATTACTATAAATATTCCTCCATGCACCCATCGTAAAACTAATGCAAGATTCAATACATAAACAATTACTACACATTTTACTCTCTTGCAATACAACCGAGCTTACATACAAATTCAACAAATCGTGATTGGTAATTATTGTGCAATCGTTCTTCAAATGTCTTGCGAGATTCTGAACGTTGTCGTCCCGCGCCTTTGAGCAGCTTCAACGCTCTCTCTCTCTATCCGTTCCAGATCACCTATGTGTCTTAGCGTTTAGGACCAGGCTTGCATGAGCATGGTTGGGTCCAACATCTATTGCCTGTGGCCACAATCGAAAACAAGGTCAATAGATTGGAAACCATATTATAAGGACGAACAACCGTATGGAAAAAGCTTACTGAAAATGAACATTTGGGCATTCTCCTTGACAAAGATCAAAAGGAGGCCCCATTACTTGGGAAAATTTTAAGTTGATACTAAGAAAAATGAGTTCAGATGAAGATGTACCCCCGGAAGGGTGAGAGAAAATGCTGGAGGAGCCCTACCAACAACTGTCCCAGCAGCTCGTCGCCAAGGTGGCATGCGAATGACTGCCCAGATCTCTAGGAAAATGGTCGCAATGGCAATAGATACGAGGAACATTGCAAGCCAAAACATGGCCATGAAGGAACTTATGACCCAAATGCAGGGCTGGGAAGGTTTCCCTATTTCCCTCAAGGACAATACTAACAAGAAGACGAAATCCAAAGCTAATGGGTTGCATCTTCCAGGCACATCAAGGGGGAAATCCCATAAAAAGAGAAGTGAAGGTTGACATTTCTTCCAACTATGCTGTTGGCCGACCCACCGAGGTCTTATACAACCTAGATGACAACTTCCCATCAAGGTGTGAGCAAGAACAAAGGCCTAGTAGGTCCAGCAGCGTATTTGACAGAATAAGTCTAATGAAGCCGAGGCACATGCATCAACGACAACCTCGCGAGCTTTAGGTGAGGCCACAGTCCCCATCTCCTATGACTCAGAAGCTGGAGAAAAGGCATGAAATGCCCCCTGTGTTGCTCTACCTAGAACTAAACGTCAGAGGAGGGAGGAGGAGGCTAGAAACCAAGTTAGTCCCTCTCATCCAACACCTAGATATGAAGTCGATGAGAACGTTGACTCAGATGAACAACAGAGGTCTTGTGACTTGGATGATGATGACAAAAATCTACCATTTTCGAGAGAATTGAAGAGTGCCCAAGTGCCAAGGCACTATGTCGTGCCTAAGATACCGAAGTATGATGGAAGAGGTGATCCGGAGAAACATTTAAATGCTTATAAGACCTACATAAGCCTAAGAGGTGTCACCCTAGCAGTAAAATGCAGAGCGTTCCACTTGACACTTAGTGGAGCAGCTGAAATCTGGTATAGCAAGCTACCACTTGGAAGCATAAGGAGTTGGCCAGAATTTAAGACCATCTTTTTTAAGAGATTAGCTATGAGCAAGGAAGGAAATGCCCCCATCCAGCGCTTCCAAGAAATGAGATAAGCACCTGGAGAGTATCCAAAATTTTTTTTGTCATGCTTTACTGATGAAATGACGTATTGCATGCAAGTCACTGATCGTGAGGCCTTGTCAGCATTGAGAGGAGGTCTAAATATGAATACCCTATTTTGGAGGGACATGTGAAATCAGGATCCCACCACCTATGACGTCCTGCTTGAAATGATGAGGCGGGAGATAATCAATGAAGAATTGATTAAGCATACGAACAGGACCAGCAGAGGCAGCGTACGAGGAGACCAACCTCCTGTCTGATAGACTACCAGATGAACTAAGCTGGTAATGAAAATTTAGGGCAAGCACTTGCCAACTCTACTTTGAATGTGATTCCAACATTGGCATATGAAGATGTCATCCTTGTGGCCAACACACAGCAGGCTGGAACTTGACAACAGACCTTTCGAAGAGGAAGATGCCGATGGTGTGGTTCAAAGCCTAGGAATAGGTTAAATCAGAACCTCTTCGAATATTGTACGTACCATCGCTCTTACACTCACGATACCACAGATTGTCAGGAGTATGCTCAACACACCCAACAGGAAAGTTCCCAGAATGACAAAATGAATGAATCACCCTAGGCGAACAGGGCCCTACCTAGGTACGACTATCAGCTTAGGCATGAGGAGGCCACCCCCGCCAGTAGGATGTTCTCTCTGTAGGAGGAATGAGCAAAATGCGGAAAGGCCCAGAGAAGGTTGCAAACACCGTAGGGCCATCAAGCTCAAGAAGAGACCTCAATCCATAAGGTGGATACCTTATTTGGAGGCCCCTACGTAGGCGGTGAGACACGTAACTCACAAAGAAACTATGTCCGAGAGGTCAAACACCATCCGTTGATGAGTTATATTGTGGATAGTAACTCCCGAAGAAATCAAGCACCACCCATCATCTTCACCCAGGAAGACGTGGAAGGAGTTCACTTCCGCTATTGTGATGCACTTTTGGTGAGGGCCGTTGTGCTCGGAATGGGCTTAAGCAAATGCTAGTCGATAATGGTAGCTCTGCGAACATTCTATTCGGATCTATCTTGACAAGATGATTTTGGACCACGATTTGACTCCTACCACTACTCTCTTATATGGATTCACTGGAGATAGCATCACTCTAAGGAAAAAGATCACACTCGCAATGAAAATGGGAGAATCACCTCAAACCACCTTGAACTTCATGGAGTTCCTTATTGTGGATAGCCGACCAACATATCACGAGATACTAAGGAGACCTGCCCTAAAGAAATTGGGAGCCGTCACCTCTATCCACCACCTATGCATGAAATTCTCGACCAAGAATGAGATGAAGACAGTAAGAAGTAACCAGAGAGGATTAAGGGAGTGCTACCTGAGCTCTATTAGGAAGGCTAAGCCCTGGGATGTCAATGTTATTATAATTGACATGGACATGATAGACGTTCCAGGTGAGGCTCTTTCTGAACGAGAAGATGTTGAAATAATCAACGCTTCTCCCGAATAGGAAGAACTGCTCGTACTTGATGAGATTGATCCCCACATGGTTGAGTACGAACCTCAAACAGTCCTAGTTTAGGAGCTGAAAAGTTTTCCTGCTGACCCCTGGGATCCCACCAAAATATTAAAAGTGGGTAAGTGCCTATCTAGTAACTTGAAAGAAAAACTTAAGGACTTCTTAAGTGGGAACCTTGACGTCTTTGTCTAGAGGCATGAGGATATGATGAGCATCGACCCCAAGGTCAGTTGCCATCACCTTAAGATTGATTTTAAGGTTGCCCAGCATAGACAAAAGAGAAAAGCCCTTAATCCGAAGAGGTATGAGGTCCTAAAGGAAAAAGTGCAGAAGCTAATCAAGAATGACTTCATCAGGGAGGCAATCTACCCGAAGTGGGTCTCCAATTCGGTGTTGGTTAAGAAGCACTGTGACAAATGGAGGGTATGTATTGACTTCACTAATCTTAACAAGGCATGTCCCAAGGATAGCTTCCCGCTTCCTAGGATTGATCAATTAGTAGACTCTACCATCGGACGTGAGTTATTAAGCTTTATGGACGCCTACTCAAGCTATAATCAAATCTCTATGTACTTGGCCGATGAGAAGAACGCTTCTTTTATCACGGACAGAGGCCTTTATTGCTACAAGATGATGCCTTCGGGTTTAAAAATGTCGGGGCTACTTATCAAAGACTTGTCTACAAAATATTTGCGGACCACATTGGCAAGACGATGGAGGTCTATGTGGATGACATGCTTGTGAAAAGTCTGAAGGCAGATGACCATGTGGCACACTTGAACAACACCTTTCAAATTTTACGAAGATACAGAATGAGGCTCAACCCCCTCAAATGTGCATTTGGTGTTGCCTCAGGAAAGTTCTTAGGGTATATGGTCAATTAAAGGAAAATTGAAGCCAATCAAGATAAAATCATCACTTTAATCGAAATACGATCCCCCGAAAACCAAAGAAAGTCCAAAGCTTAAACGAACATGTGGCAGCATTAGTTGCTTTGTCTCAAAGGCCACTGACAAGTGCCTCCCATTCTTTAAGACATTGAAAGGGGAGAAGAGGTTCTAATGGATAGAGGAATGTGAAGAGGCTTTCCAGGGCCTGAATAGGCACCTAGGGCAAGCCCCTATCCTCTCAAAGTCGAAGCCCGAGGAAGTTCTGCAATTATACTTGGCCATCACAAATGAGGCCATCAATGCGGTCCTTATTACAGAGGAAGGTACCACTCAGCTCCTCGGGTACTATACTAGCAAAGCACTCTATCATCAGAAACACGCTATCTCGATATGGAGAAGCTTGCCTTGGTCTTAATCAAAGCTTCTAGAAAACTGAGGCCCTACTTCCAGGCTCACACCATTCATGTTTTAACCAACTTCCCCTTGAGGCAAGTAGTTTAGAAGTCTAATGCTTTTGGGAGGCTGCTAAAATGGACAGTGGAGCTTAGTAAATTTGACATTGTCTTTAAGACTAGGGCAGCTATCAAGGGCCAAGCCTTATCTGATTTTGTGGCAGAATTTACCAACGTACCAGAAGTGGAGAAAATGATGGAGCCTGTAGAGCCCCCACATGGAACCTATTCATGGACGGATCGGTTGGAGACACAGGTTCGGGAGTCAGGGTGATCTTAGTAAGCCCAGAGGGTCAAAAACTGAACCCAGCTGTGAAGTTCGGATTCAAGGTCACCAACAATGTGGCAGAGTATGAGGCACTCATTACAGGCCTTAGATTAGCGAACGAATAGCAGATGACTCATCAATAGCAATTCCCAGCTAGTTGTAAGCCAAGTCAATGGCAGCTTTTCAGCTAGAGGTAAGAGCATGGCCACTTGAGGCTGGTGATGGACTTACTCCCATCATTTGAAAAATTCAAACTCATTCAGATTCCACGAACGAAAAATGCACACATCGACGCACTCTCCAAACTTGCTAACAGTAAGGACTTTGAATTACTGACAGTAGTACCAATTGAGCACCTCTTGACACCTTCAATCGAGGCCCCAGATGTCAGTGGGTAGAAAAAACTCCTACCTGAATGCAACCCATTGTTGCCAATCTCAAAGACTAGGTCATTCTCACAAATAAAGATGAGGCCTACAAATTGAGGAGGAGGTCAGCTTGTTTTGTCTTCATTGACGATGTACTTACAAAAGAAGCTTCTCTCCCCTTCTCTGATGTATAGGTGGTAAGGAAGCCACCTACATACTAAGAGAAGTCCATTAAGGTATTCGTGGCAACCACTCTGGAGGTCTGGCTTTAACACAAAAGGTATTGAGGCAGGGGTACTACTGGCCTACCTCGAAGAAAGATACCCTCTAATTTGTGCGCAACTGTGACAAGTGCCAACATTTCTCTCCTATCCAAAGACAGCATTCACAGGAATTGACTGCAGTCTCCAACCCCCGGCCTTTCTCCAAGTGGGGAGCGAACCTCATAGGTCCCTTACCAAAAGGTATAAGAGGTTCAAACTTTACAATAGTGTCCATTGATTACTTCACGAAGTAGGTTGAAGCTGAACCACTGACAAAGATCACAGAAGCAAACCTTTCCAAGTTCTTATGGAAGAATATTATATGTCGGTTTAGATTTTCCCACTCGATCATCTCTAACCAAGAAGGCAATTTAACAAAAAGAAAGTTCGAAGCCTATGTGATGAACTGGCATAAAGAAGCACTTCTCCACGCTTCATCACTCCCAGGCTAATGGTCAAGTAGAGGCTGTGAACAAGACCATTAAACATGTCCTAAAGAGGAATGTGATTCCAACCTTGGAATATGAAGATATCATCCTTGTGCCCAACACACAACAGGAGGAACTTCACAACAGACCCTCCGAAGAGGAAGAGGCCGATGGTGTTGTTCAGGGCCTTGGAATAGGTTAAATCAGAACCTCTTCGAATATTGTACGTACCATCGCTCTTACACTCACGATACCACAGATTGTCAGGAGTATGCTCAACACACCCAACGAGAAAGTTCCTGGAATGACAAAATGAATGAATCACCCCAGGCAAACAGGGCCCCACCTAGGTATGACCATCAACCTAGGCATGAAGAGGCCACTCCCGCCAGTAGGATGTTTTTCCTGTAGGAGGAATGAGCAAAACGTGGAAAGGCCCAGAGAAGGGTGCAAACACCTTAGGGGCCATCAAGCTCAAGAAGAGGCCCCAATGCATGAGGTAGATATGATATGACCTGGGAGTCGAGCCCGATGAAGGCAAGTGCAAGACGACACCTGTTGATAGTCGATGGAGGACCGATGACACAATCCAAGGCAGAGCAAGTGAAACAAGCTATGGGATTACTCGTTCAAGAAACCATTGATGGAACCATGTTTGGGACTCAAAATGGAGCAACTTTCATGTTTGGGTTGAAGGCCGAATCAACTTGGATCAATTTAATATCGAAGGCCGAAGACGGAGGAAAATGATAAGCCTATGCGACCGCATAGGCTTATGAGGCTCGCGGTCACATGCATGCTTACCGAAACACAAAGGAGCCAACCCGTGTGAACTATACGACCACATAGAAATAAGCATCGCGGTATCATAGGCCAAAATTTTTGGCGAATTTTCTATTTTTGGCAATTTTTCATATTTTGTTAGTTTTTTATTCTTTTCCATATTTTGGAAAATATGCTCGACTTTTGCACGATTTTTACCTAGTTTTTAGGTTTAGTATAAATAAGAGTTTTCATTTAATCGTTAAAAACTTTTAACATATTTGATATTGAATTAAAGTGAGGCGTATTATCTTCTCTTCATCGTTCTTCATTAAACAACTTCGAACTTATCAAGTGTTAACTTGTGGCATTCAAACAACCGGATTCAATTCTTGAATTGCGTGATCAAGGGGTCTTTCAAGCGTCGTTCTTGTTGAGTTTTTTGGTTCGACTTTCTTTTGGATTAATCCTAAACTCTTGGATTAATTTGGCTTTCTTGGGTTCGTCAACCTCCTTGTGGGTTTTGTAGTCAACGTTGCTATGGGATTCGCATTAGGATACCATATTTGGAGGCCCCTACGTAGGTGGTGAGACACGAAACTCACAAAGAAACTATGCTCGAGAGGCCAAACTCCGTCCGTTGACGAGCTATATTGTGGACAGTAACTCCCGAAGAAATCAAGCACCACCCATCGTCTTCACCCAAGAAGACGTGGAAGGAGTTCACTTCCCCTATTGTGATGTACTTTTTGTGAGGGCCGTTGTGCTTGGAATGGGCTTAAGTGGATGCTAGTCGACAATGGTAGCTCTGCGAACATTCTATTCGGATCTATCTTGACAAAATGATTTTGGACCACGATTTAACTCCTACCACTACTCCCTTATACGAATTCACTGGAGATAGCATCGCTCCAAGGAGAAAGATCACACTCGCAGTGAAAATGGGAGAATCACCTCAAACCACATTGAACTTCATGGAGTTCTTTATTGTAGATAGCTGGTCGACTTGTCACGGGATGCTAAGGAGACCTGCCCTGAAGGAATTGGGAGTCGTCACCTCTATCGACCACCTATGCATGAAATTCTCGACCAAGAATGGGGTGGAGACAGTAAGAAGTGACCAGAGAGGATCAAGGGAGTGTTACCTGAGCTCCATCAGGAACGCTAAGCCCCAGGATGTCAATGTTATTATAATTGACATGGACATGATAGACGTTCCAGGTGAGGCTCTTTCTGAACGAGAAGATGTTGAAATGATCAACGCTCCTCCCAAACAGAAAGAACAGCTCATACTTGACGAGATCGATCCCCACATGGCTGAGCAGGAACCTCAGATAGCCCTAGTTTAAGAGCTGAAAAGTTTTCTTGTTGACCCCTAGGATCCCACCAAAATAATGAAAGTGGGTAAGTGCCTATCTAGTGACTTGAAAGAAAAACTTAAGGACTTCTTAAGTGGGAACCTTGACGTCTTTGCCTGGAATGAGGATATGGCGGGCATCGACCTCAAGGTCAGTTGCCATCACCTTAAGATTGATTTTAAGGTTGCACCGAATAGACAAAAGAGAAAAGCCCTTAATCCGGAGAAGTATGAGGCCCTAAAAGAAAAGGTGCAGAAGCTAATCAAGAATGACTTCATCAGGGAGGCCATTTACTCGAAGTGGGTTTCCAATTCGGTGTTGGTTAAGAAGCACAGTGACAAATGGAGGGTATGTATTGACTTCACTAATCTTAACAAAGCATGTCCTAAAGATAGCTTCCCGCTTCCTAAGATTGATCAATTAGTAGACTCCACCGTCAAACATGAGTTATTAAGCTTCATAGATGCCTACTCAAGCTATAATCAAATCTCTATATACCCGGCAGATGAGAAGAGCGCTTCCTTTATCACGGACAGAAGCCGTTATTGCTACAAGATGATACCATCGGGTTGAAAAATGTCGAGGCTATTTATCAAAGGCTTGTCAACAAAATATTTGCGGATCACATTGGCAAGATTATAGAGGTCTATATGGACGACATGCTTGTGAAAAGACTGAAGGCAGATGCCCATGTGGACAACACCTTTCAAATTTTGCGAAGATACAGAATGAGGCTCAATCCCTTCAAATGTGCATTTGATGTTGCCTCTGGAAAGTTCTTCGGGTATATGGTCAATCAAACGAGAATTGAAGCCAATCCAGATAAAATCTTGATCGAAATGCGATCTCCCAAAAACCAAAGAAAGTCCAAAGCTTAACCGAATGTGTGGCAGCATTAGTCGCTTTGTCTCAAAGGCCACCGACGAGTGACTCCCATTCTTTAAGACATTGAAAG